GTCCACGTCTACGTCCACGTCCATTTATACGTCCACGTCCACGTCCATGTCCACGTCCACGTCCACGTCCACGTCCACGTCCACGTCCACGTCCATGTCCACGTCCACGTCCACGTCCACGTCCACGTCCACGTCCACGTCCTCGTCCACGTCCACGTCCACGTCCACGTCCACGTCCATGTCCACGTCCACGTCCACGTCCATGTCCACATCCACGTCCACGTCCATTTCTACGTCCACGTCCACGTCCACGTCCACGTCCAGGTCCACGTCCACGTCCACGTCACGTCCACGTCCACGTCTACGTCCACGTCCAGGTCCACGTCCACGTCCATGTCCACGTCCACGTCCATGTCCACGTCCATGTCCACGTCCATGTCCACGTCCATGTCCACGTCCACGTCCACGTCCACGTCTACGTCCACGTCCACGTCCATGTCCACGTCCACGTCCATGTCCATGTCCATGTCCATGTCCACGTCCATGTCCACGTCCATGTCCACGTCCACGTCCACGTCCACGTCCATGTCCACGTCCACGTCCACGTCCACGTCCATGTCCACGTCCACGTCCATGTCCACGTCCACGTCCACGTCCACGTCCACGTCCACGTCCATGTCCTCGTCCACGTCCACGTCCACGTCCGCGTCTACGTCCACGTCCACGTCCACGTCTACGTCCACGTCCACGTCCACGTCCACGTCCATGTCCACGTCCACGTCCATGTCCACGTCCATGTCCACGTCCATGTCCACGTCCATGTCCACGTCCACGTCCACGTCCACGTCTACGTCCACGTCCACGTCCATGTCCACGTCCACGTCCACGTCCATGTCCATGTCCACGTCCATGTCCATGTCCACGTCCATGTCCACGTCCATGTCCACGTCCACGTCCACGTCCACGTCCATGTCCACGTCCACGTCCACGTCCACGTCCACGTCCACGTCCACGTCCATGTCCACGTCCACGTCCACGTCCACGTCCACGTCCACGTCCACGTCCACGTCCTCGTCCACGTCCACGTCCACGTCCACGTCCACGTCCACGTCCATGTCCACGTCCACGTCCACGTCCATGTCCATGTCCACGACCACGTCCATTTCTACGTCCACGTCCACGTCCACGTCCACGTCCAGGTCCACGTCCACGTCCACGTCACGTCCACGTCCACGTCCATGTCCACGTCCACGTCCACGTCCACGTCCATGTCCACGTCCACGTCCACGTCCATGTCCGTCCTCGTCCATGTCCACGTCCATGTCCACGTCAACGTCCACGTCCACGTCCACGTCTACGTCCATGTCCATGTCCACGTCCACGTCCACGTCCATGTCCACGTCCACGTCCACGTCCATTTCTACGTCCACGTCCACGTCCACGTCCACGGCCACGTCCACGTCCACGTCCACGTCCACGTCCACGTCCTCGTCCACGTCCACGTCCATGTCCACGTCCACGTCCACGTCCATGTCCACGTCCACGTCCACGTCCATGTCCACGTCCACGTCCACGTCCATTTCTACGTCCACGTCCACGTCCACGTCCACGTCCACGTCCATGTCCACGTCCACGTCCACGTCCACGTCCATGTCCACGTCCACGTCCACGTCCACGTCTACGTCCACGTCCACGTCCATGTCCACGTCCACGTCCACGTCCATGTCCATGTCCACGTCCATGTCCATGTCCACGTCCATGTCCACGTCCATGTCCACGTCCACGTCCACGTCCACGTCCATGTCCACGTCCACGTCCACGTCCACGTCCACGTCCACGTCCACGTCCACGTCCATGTCCACGTCCACGTCCACGTCCACGTCCACGTCCACGTCCACGTCCTCGTCCACGTCCACGTCCACGTCCACGTCCACGTCCACGTCCATGTCCACGTCCACGTCCACGTCCATGTCCACGTCCACGTCCACGTCCATTTCTACGTCCACGTTCACGTTCACGTCCACGTCCAGGTCCACGTCCACGTCCACGTCACGTCCACGTCCACGTCCATGTCCACGTCCACGTCCACGTCCACGTCCACGTCCATGTCCACGTCCACGTCCACGTCCATGTCCGTCCACGTCCATGTCCACGTCCATGTCCACGTCAACGTCCACGTCCACGTCCACGTCTACGTCCATGTCCATGTCCACGTCCACGTCCACGTCCATGTCCACGTCCACGTCCACGTCCATTTCTACGTCCACGTCCACGTCCACGTCCACGGCCACGTCCACGTCCACGTCCACGTCCTCGTCCACGTCCACGTCCATGTCCACGTCCACGTCCACGTCCATGTCCACGTCCACGTCCACGTCCATGTCCACGTCCACGTCCACGTCCATTTCTACGTCCACGTCCACGTCCACGTCCATGTCCACGTCCACGTCCACGTCCACGTCCACGTCTACGTCCACGTCCAGGTCCACGTCCAGGTCCACGTCCACGTCTACGTCCACGTCCACGTCCACGTCCACGTCCACGTCCATGTCCACGTCCACGTCCACGTCCACGTCCACGTCCACGTCCACGTCCACGTCCATGTCCATGTCCATGTCCACGTCCACGTCCACGTCATGTCCACGTCCACGTCCATGTCCACGTCCACGTCCACGTCCACGTCCACGTCCACGTCCACGTCCACGTCCACGTCCACGTCCACGTCCACGTCCACGTCCACGTCGACGTCCACGTCCACGTCCACGTCCACGTCCATGTCCACGTCCACGTCCACGTCCACGTCCACGTCCACGTCCATGTCCACGTCCACGTCCATGTCCACGTCCATGTCTACGTCCACGTCCACGTCCACGTCCACGTCCACGTCCATGTCTACGTCCATGTCCACGTCCACGTCCATGTCCACGTCCACGTCCACGTCCACGTCCATGTCCACGTCCATGTCCACGTCCACGTCCACGTCGACGTCCACGTCCACGACGTCCATGTCCACGTCCACGTCCACGTCCACGTCCACGTCCATGTCCACGTCCACGTCCACGTCCACGTCCACGTCCATGTCCACGTCCATGTCCATGTCCACGTCCAGGTCCACGTCCACGTCTACGTCCACGTCCACGTCCACGTCCACGTCCACGTCCACGTCCACGTCCACGTCCACGTCCACGTCCACGTCTACGTCCACGTCCACGTCCACGTCCACGTCCATGTCCACGTCCACGTCCACGTCCACGTCCACGTCCACGTCCACGTCCATGTCCACGTCCACGTCCACGTCCACGTCCACGTCCACGTCCACGTCCACGTCCTCGTCCACGTCCACGTCCACGTCCACGTCCACGTCCACGTCCATGTCCACGTCCACGTCCACGTCCACGTCCATGTCCACGTCCACGTCCACGTCCATGTCCGTCCTCGTCCATGTCCACGTCCATGTCCACGTCAACGTCCACGTCCACGTCCACGTCTACGTCCATGTCCATGTCCACGTCCACGTCCACGTCCATGTCCACGTCCACGTCCACGTCCATTTCTACGTCCACGTCCACGTCCACGTCCACGGCCACGTCCACGTCCACGTCCACGTCCACGTCCACGTCCTCGTCCACGTCCACGTCCATGTCCACGTCCACGTCCACGTCCATGTCCACGTCCACGTCCACGTCCATGTCCACGTCCACGTCCACGTCCATTTCTACGTCCACGTCCACGTCCACGTCCACGTCCATGTCCACGTCCACGTCCACGTCCACGTCCATGTCCACGTCCACGTCCACGTCCACGTCTACGTCCACGTCCACGTCCATGTCCACGTCCACGTCCACGTCCATGTCCATGTCCACGTCCATGTCCATGTCCACGTCCATGTCCACGTCCATGTCCACGTCCACGTCCACGTCCACGTCCATGTCCACGTCCACGTCCACGTCCACGTCCACGTCCACGTCCACGTCCACGTCCATGTCCACGTCCACGTCCACGTCCACGTCCACGTCCACGTCCACGTCCTCGTCCACGTCCACGTCCACGTCCACGTCCACGTCCACGTCCATGTCCACGTCCACGTCCACGTCCATGTCCACGTCCACGTCCACGTCCATTTCTACGTCCACGTTCACGTTCACGTCCACGTCCAGGTCCACGTCCACGTCCACGTCACGTCCACGTCCACGTCCATGTCCACGTCCACGTCCACGTCCACGTCCACGTCCATGTCCACGTCCACGTCCACGTCCATGTCCGTCCACGTCCATGTCCACGTCCATGTCCACGTCAACGTCCACGTCCACGTCCACGTCTACGTCCATGTCCATGTCCACGTCCACGTCCACGTCCATGTCCACGTCCACGTCCACGTCCATTTCTACGTCCACGTCCACGTCCACGTCCACGGCCACGTCCACGTCCACGTCCACGTCCTCGTCCACGTCCACGTCCATGTCCACGTCCACGTCCACGTCCATGTCCACGTCCACGTCCACGTCCATGTCCACGTCCACGTCCACGTCCATTTCTACGTCCACGTCCACGTCCACGTCCATGTCCACGTCCACGTCCACGTCCACGTCCACGTCTACGTCCACGTCCAGGTCCACGTCCAGGTCCACGTCCACGTCTACGTCCACGTCCACGTCCACGTCCACGTCCACGTCCATGTCCACGTCCACGTCCACGTCCACGTCCACGTCCACGTCCACGTCCACGTCCATGTCCATGTCCATGTCCACGTCCACGTCCACGTCCATGTCCACGTCCACGTCCATGTCCACGTCCACGTCCACGTCCACGTCCACGTCCACGTCCACGTCCACGTCCACGTCCACGTCCACGTCCACGTCCACGTCCACGTCGACGTCCACGTCCACGTCCACGTCCACGTCCATGTCCACGTCCACGTCCACGTCCACGTCCACGTCCACGTCCATGTCCACGTCCACGTCCATGTCCACGTCCATGTCTACGTCCACGTCCACGTCCACGTCCACGTCCACGTCCATGTCTACGTCCATGTCCACGTCCACGTCCATGTCCACGTCCAC